CACTTGTTATTGCCATTAAATATTCTAAAGAGTTGAAGCATCATCTTCTGCTCCATCTTTTGCAGGCAGGGTGTCATGCTTTTCCTATTAATTGCTCGCTTGCCAAATGTATCTTTGCACATTATCTTGTTACATCTTTCGATGTGCTTAATCCTTATCATAATTAGAGTTGCACACTGCTGCTGGGACACTTATGTCTCATACCAAATTAGGCTTATAATTGTTTACTGATATTTGGATGCTATTAACATGGCTAAGAATTCTTTATCATAGAAACCAATAATTATACTATATGAAAGATTAAGAATGAGCAATAATCATGGCTACCGTATGAAAATATTTCGGTAAGCAATAAATTCTTGTTCTTATTTATTCTGACTGGACATGATGAGCCTCCATTTCTAGTACTAAAGGTTTCTTGTTTATTTTATTGTCAACTGATGCCTCATGGACAATTCGCAGGGCAAGCAAATCAGTTCACTCAACCATCTCAGCACCAGCCATTCAGTGAAGTCAGTCCTCTCTGGAAATGTTTTAAGTCTCAAGCAGGAGAGGAATAATAATCATAACCATGAATGGGCTACATGGGTAATGGAGCACCACCTATATTGCTGCTTGCCATTTGAAGGTGTTGCTTTCAGACAAATGGCAAGATGTTACATTCTAAAGGCAGTAAAAGGTCAAGACAGTACATCCAGTCATTAGCAAATCTCGAAACGTTACGCATTAATAATTCAATGATAATCTGTTTTCATTGAATTTTCACTTTATTATAATGCACTGGATGCAAATCTTAAATTAAAGCATTAATTTGATCTGCTGAGGCAGAGTAAGGGCCTTTTTTGACATGACTGTAATTCCCTACTCAAAAACATGCTGAGACAGGCATTTGATTATATATTTTTTTCCAGTAAAATGCCATAAGTTAAGTGATGTAAATATTAGGTGGACCAAATGTTTGTGAAAAAACAAAATTTGAATTCACGATCTTGAAGCTGCTTGTGTTACTTCAGACACTTTTATTTTACTGAGTGTATGCACAGGCCTCACTTTAATGTGAAGTGTGAAAATGATCCCCATTACAATGTTTTTTAAAGTAAGTTTTGCCAAAAAATGAAGTATATTGGAGAAAAAAAAAACACACACATCTCCAGAGAATTTTCAGTTTACTTTGGCACAACAAGAGCAGCAAAGAAGAACAGCGAAGAAGTCAAGTGAGCAGTTTTCAAACAAAATGAATTGTTCTTAAAAATAATTTGTGGGTTTTCACGAAAGCTGAAGAGATAAAGGCACTTTGAAGGATCTTTTTCTCTAAACTTCACACAAGCAGATTCCACAGCTCCTTGAGCCTATGAGCGTTGGTTCCTGTATGTACTTTATATGCTTTCAATTATGTTGATCAATGGCCTTTTAAAGCTGTGGGTCTAAAAAAACTCACAGAGGGTGGCTGCTGTGTATCCAGCTGTTGGTCCAGTCTTAAGACAGTATTGCAGGTTTTTGTTCTGCAGTCTCAATGGAGGCATATTGGCAGACTGTTTGCTCTGTTAATTAAATTTCCTCTTTGCAGCAAATGAGGTCATATTCTACTATTGGTGTAATGTCTCTCTCATGTACAACAAAGGAAATGCAGAGACTCCGGGAATCATTTACTGAAACAATCAAGTATATCATTGTTTGTCTGTTGATCTGTATTTTTGAGGAGCATCACCATGGTGAGATTTTATGCCACTGCGTGTGCTTTTTATTGCTTCAATTTTACAGACAGTTGGGATTAATGTCAGCCTCTACAGCTTCCTGGGAAAAAGGGCAATAATATAGGGGTCTTTTTCATTATTATATAGCGATACAGTATGGGATGGTTTGTTCTTTACTCATCTTGCAGTGATGTTGAGATTACAACCGTGTCCTATTTAAAATGTTCATGATTCATGTTGTATTGATTGGCACAAAGATGGCTGGTTGAAGATTTTTTTTCTCCAGAGCTATGAATAAGTATGTGTTTTATGTTACAGCTACATATGTTGCTTTTTTCCTTTTTTTTTTTTTAAATTAGCGCAACTTGAACATATGTGCCTTCTAAACTGGGTTGACTGACAGTGGTATGCAAGAATGTTGTTTTGTTTTACAATGAAGCATGATGTCAAAACTGAATACCACATTTAAAAGAAAACATGCTTTAAACTGATAAGGTATAGTTTATTACTTTAATTGGAAAATGTTCACTTCCAGTGAACGAGTTTAGCCGCAAAGGTAATTTAAGTAAAAGTGGCCATCCAATTAGACAGCCAAGGAATTTTCCATTTTGATATCCACTTTCCGTCTTTAGTCTCGTCTCTTTTCTTAAGAAACATTCAAGCTGAGTGGAAATCAAAGGTCCGTATTTACCTGTTGGAAATCCAGGCCCCTGTATAATGCAGATATGACAATGCCATTGTGTTGAAAACCACTCTGCGTCTTTTAATTAACTCAGAATTTAGCATGACAAAGAAATATTTGAGAGTGCCTTAAAGCTAAAAGGTCCAACAAGTGTAAATATGATTAAATTGAAAATGTTTGGAGTTTAAAACAAAACAATTTACTGCATTAAGTATTTTTGACTGATTTGAATAATAGTGTTAACTGGATTATTAAATGGCTTCCAGAAAGTTTGGGGAAACATAAGTCATCCTCACCAACTTTTACTCCTATTTGTTAAATCTGTTGGGGTAAATTCTTTAGAATCTTGAATGTTCGGTTGAAGAAAATGAACTCCAAGTTTATAAACAATAAAGTAAGAAAGGAACGTAATGTCCTGTGACACATGTCAAGCACTAGTATCAGTGCACTTGTTCACATGGAAGTTCATTAAATACATTTGCATAACAACACTGCCAGCGGATTCTTCTGATGCACATGTGACTTGTGGAGCGACATCATGAAATAACAAAGGGCCGAGCAGGGGCAGTGTAAATAATACAGAGGGACTCTATTTATTGTCTGCAAATAGAAGCGAAAAAGTCCTTTCACTGCAGAGCGACACTGATATTTTTCCCTTCAACTCTTTTCTCTCTAATGGAAAATGGACCGCTTTCGCTGTTGACATAAAAAATAACTTTAAGAAGAAATCAAGAAAGAAAACCATCTACTCTTTGTGTAGTAACTCTAAATACACCAAGCTGGAGTCACAACATATCAGCTTTACAATATGCCTCTAAAATTCACGCATCTGATTATGCACATATTAATATGAGTTGTTTTAGTTGAAATTAGATATTTTCATATTAGAATGAGTTTTTTCTCTTCAGCACTAGACTTATTTTGTTTGGGATGTAAAAGCAAGATCTTGACCTTCTGGAGGTCTTTGAAACTGCTGATGCAAAGAGTCATGCGGACAGCTAATCTGGAAATATCTCTACATGTTGTTTCCTGGTAACTGGTCTTTGTGAGTGAAAGCAGTAAAGATATAGGCTGTGTGCCAGTTCTTCTTGCTTCTAAAGTCTCCTCCCACTTTGTGCCAACTTTAATTCTTTCCATGATGCCTTTCCCCCGTGTGTTCAGATGAAAACTGTCATATTTAAATTCTAAAACACACTCCAAGAATTCCAGAATTCCTCTCAACGGATGAGATATATACAATTTAATGAAAAGAGGGGAATCTTTACAAACCAGTCCTCGAACTTACCATTTCTGTTCTAATTTACTCTAAAGTCCATCATTAATTGGTTTGTAATAAAGAACAGTGTCATTACAAATAAGAGGCAAAGAGTTTTATGCGTTTACAATAAAGTCAATAAGTGACTTTCTGTTGTGACCATAAGCTCATGACAACCAAACCAGCTGATCAAACTTTGATATGTAGCTTCTGTTGGACATCAGATTTAAAAATGTGGACTCTAAGGGCTTTGTCATCATGGAGTGTTTAGTTAACAAATAGTCAGCATATTTTTTTCTTCAAAAACAATACAATACATCCAGAAGAATCATATTTCTAAATGAATATGTTTATTTGATAAGCATTAGTATTTGTGTTTGAGGCTGTGTTTTGTTTTTTACATCTCTGCAGTTTAAGTTATTGTCACTGATACTCATTTAAAAACATGACATTTTTATGTTAATATGGAATAACAAACAAACCACAACAAAAAGGCCTCGTACCAGCTGTATATGTGCAAACAAGAGATCCCGCTGTAAAGTGTTGGTTTTTGGTCAGGCCAACAATGAACACATGGAAGATTAAAGTGACCGATAGGAAGTCTCCATTAAATTTGCATTAACACATTGTGTAAATCTGTTCATGATTGCCTCGCGGAGACCCTGTGGTTCAGCGTGCCATCCCCAGCTTCTGTACACTGGCCAGATGGCCACTTCAGAATGAGATTGACACACTGTTTCAAACTGATTTCATGCTAACTCTCCGGAGACGGAGACAGACCATCCGCTCTGTTGGGAATCGGGATTACAAAATAGCCAATTAAAAAGGAAAGTGGTGAAATCTTGGCCTGATAAGGTGGAGATTAAATCGGTTATAGTTTATTAGGCAAAATTACTTATTAGAAACTATTCCCCTCCAAACAGATTTCCATTACCAGTCCAAGTCCTTTTTATCTGCACTCTTTTATCTGATGGCTGCACTCTGTAATTATGAGTCCTCCAAATAGCAATTATGACACCAAATGGACAGCATTTCCTCATACATTCCTTTTATTCTTCATTATGGGTTTGACAGACTGAACATTTAAAAAAAAAATTCCCCGAAAGAGGGACAGCTGCATCTGACCTCTCTTCTACATACAAAACAACCGTCGAGTTACGTTGAAAATTAATTAAAACTAGAGAAATGATCCCGCTAATTTGTTGACAGTGAACCCTACAAAACAATCATGTCAGTTATCTCTTCTTGTTTCTCAGCATCAATCATGTGCCAACCCCGGTGCCATGTGTAATTACTGCTTGAGAATGGCTGAGCAGATGCAACGGCTGTGAGTGAGACTGAATCTATCTGGAGCCTTCAATGGGTCCCAATGTCCCAGGATGGCTGGTGCCCGCTCTGCTTGCGAGGCATCTGTGCAGCACCTGTGGACCCAGCAGCGCCCCACCTGCGACTAAACGTCAGCTGTCTGTTTTTCCTCGGAAACTCGGGGCTTCCCCTGCAGCCTCTCTCCCTCAGGTCAGCCCGGTTCATGAGAAAGCCCCCTCTAAGCTTTTCTCACCTCCCACTAGTACCTGGACGTTAAAGAGCTCCCCGGCTGGTCTGAGGTTGATCTGTTACCCGTGATGTCTTCTGACCCTGATGCTGCTCGGCACTGCCTCCTTAAACATTGTCAATCTCGCACCAACTTGAGAGCCCGGCAGCTATTGGCCGACTGCAAAACACACAGGTGGTTTATTATTATACCATCCCCCCCTCTGCTCAAACCAAATACTGAGCTAATATCTGGAGGTGGCTGCCATAAATCCCTTCATTCTCTCCTAAAAGCCTGGAAAGCCTCTGAATCAGATTGATACAGATTGAATTCTTACCCTTCTTTGTAAGCAACCATTTGTATTCATGAAATCAAGGTATTTACCTGTGAGATGAGCATCACTATTTGCTGGTACATATACTGGAAGCTGAAATGTTTGTAACATGAAGCACTAATATCCGATCGCGTTTCATCTAACCTTTCATCTGAGAATCCAAAAGCCCTTTAGTCTGTGTCAAGATAATCAGTCCTCTGACAGAACAGCATTCATGAGGATAATTGTAGAGGG